CAACATTAGATCAATACGCGGATCGTATACTGGAGATGGAACAGCAAGACGAACAATTGCAGAAACAGTATCGGGATCAGCAGCAAAAGATGTCAGCAAATACTACCGAATTGGGCAAAAAGCAAGCCGACTTAGGTCGACAACAAGCCTTGAAACAGGCCTATGAAGGAGAGCTTGAATCCCGAGTTCAATTGGTCAAGAGTGCTGCATCCAAGCATTCCATTCGAGGCTACGATGACGATATCAACGAGTCTCGAGTGAATGAATTTATCGAGAGAATCAAAAAGCTATCTCGCGACAAGGAACGTGAATTGGAGCGGGCGAAGACAGCTACTAATGATGAATTGAAAAATGTCCAGGCCACTTTGACGGAACTTCAGAATCAGCACGCGATACGTGTTCAAGAAAAGGTCTCGGCCAAACAAACAATTTCCCATAACGAAAGGAAAGTCGATCCTAAACAAACAGAACTGGGTTTTATCCAATTCGACGAAGGTGATAAAACCGGTCTTGAGGCCTCTCAAAATGAGACTAAAGATCTATTGGAGAAGCTTAGGACTCAGTTTGACAGTGCAGGTTGGGACAATCGCATCAGTACTAGCAATGGACGCTTGCGCGAGCTTGAAGACGAAGAAAAGTCTTTAAGAAAAGAGGCCTTTGAGATCAACAAGCGTTCAAACGACCGCGCCCAACTTGATTATGTTATGGGGGAATTGAAAAAGACCAAGGGAAAACTAGACACCATGAAAGCGACCCATGGTGCAAAGCTCGATTCAATTCTCGGTTCAGACTGGCAAGTTGATACTCTCGCAAAGGATTTCCAACGTGCATTGGACAGGGAGAAGGATGAAGTTTCAGACGCAACAAATGAACAAGAAGCCGCGAAAAAAACTCACTCGGAAGCAGGTTTTCGATTTAATGCACTTCGCGAAGACCTGAAAGCTAAGAAGGAGCAATTAAAGGCTTGTGAGAATGCTGTACTCAGTTCTATCAAGGATGAAGACTCGAAACCATTAGTAAGTGTTGAAGAATATCATAGGGAGCTGAATCAACTGGAGGAGGAGCGTGATGAGATCCGGGATAACATCGATGGCTTTAAACACAAAATCGAATACTTCACCCAATGCTTAACCACCATTCAGACTAAGGATATGTGCAAACTCTGTGAAAGAGGTTTTGCAGAAGAAGCACATCGTTCAGCCGCCATGAAGAAAATCCAGAAACTTCTCAACAAAGATGCCCGAGAAAGATGGCAGGGAGAGCTGGAGATGTACAATGAGCAATTGAAGACTGCAAAAGCTGCTCAATCGCAGTATGACATTTATCAATCTCTCAAGGACGAAATCCCAAATGTTGAGCAAGATATGAAGAAGGCGGAAGATGAGAAGCAAAGACTACTTGAAGAAGTTGAGCATCACGACAGTATTGTTGAACGCAAAACCGCCAGGCAGAGAGATGTCGAATCTCTGACGCATATCATCTCCTCCATCATTAGGTACCATAGCGATATTACGGATCACGAAGCAAAGATTGATAGCTTAGCCTCGCAACAAAGCATTGCTGGAAGTATTATGACGGCTGACGATATCCAAGAACGACAGACAGCTTGTAGCGAAAGTATGCGCGAGGTCAGAGAACAATTGTCAAAAATTTCATCCGAGAAAGATGCAGCCAAAGACAAGATAAACGACGTGGAGCGTGATCTCTCTCGCAAATCGCAAAGACTTCGGGATGTCATTCACGGTTTGGCAAAGAAACAAGCTTTACGAAAGGAGATTGATGAACTTCTCGAGAGCAGCACACAGCAACGTGAAACTATGAATCGTGCTGATGCCGAGCTGGAAAATTTGAAACCTAAGATTGACACTGCAAAGGCTACATACGAAGATATCCAACAGCAAGGACATGCAAAGGAAAGAGAAGTCCGATCTCAAAAAGAGAAGTTGGCAGATACTGTTCGTCAATTCCTACAACATGAGAAAAATATCAACGGATACATTGACAATAGTGGTCCTGAAAATCTTGTTGCTTGTGAGCGAGCAATCAAATCCATTCAAGAGGATCAGAAGCGTATCAACGAAGAAATAAACGGTATTACAGCCGAGTTGAATGCACTCCGAGCTAAAAAGAGTGATTCCGATCGATTGAAGACAAACATCAGCGACAACATTCTTTACCGTCAGGAATTGGCTAAACTGGAGGTTTATAAGAAACAAACTATTGACTTGGAGTCTCAAAATGTGGAAGGAAATTTTCAAACTCTAACAAAGGAGGCCGAGAGAATACAAGCGACATTCTACGACCATCGTCGCCTCTATCAAGAGAAAACAGCCATTCTCTCAGAAAAGGACCAAAACTTGGCGCAATATTTACAGGAATGGGATTTGAATTACAAAAATGCTCGATCAGAGTATCGCATAGCTATGATTAGAGTGAAGACGACAAAGGCTGCTATTGATGATCTAGGCAAGATGATTACAGCTATGGACAAAGCAATTGTGAAATTTCATAGTGTGAAGATGGAGGAAATTAATCGAATTGCTGGGGAATTGTGGCAGACTACTTACCAGGGTACGGATGTTGATACGATCATGATTCGTTCCGAGAAAGATGAGGGCGAAACCGCAGCTGGTAATAAGAAGACGAATTATAAATATCGAGTTGTGATGGTTAAACAAGATGTCGAGATGGATATGCGTGGTCGTTGTAGTGCTGGTCAAAAAGTTTTGGCTTGTATCATCATTCGTTTAGCGCTAGCCGAATGTTTCGGTATTAATTGTGGTGTAAGTCTTGATTATTTTTCTATTCCCTTCTTCTATTTCAATTGATATGATTCTAACACTATTTACAGCTCATTGCACTCGATGAACCTACCACCAATCTAGACCAAGACAACATCAAAGCACTTGCGCAATCATTACATGACATCATTAAATCCCGTCAACAACAAGCAAATTTCCAACTCATCATTATTACTCACGATGAAGAATTCTTGAAAGTTATGCAGTGTTCTGATTTCTGTGATGATTTCTATCAAGTCAGTAGGGACCAGGAACAGAATAGTAAGATTGAAAAGATTCCTATTGCGCAGGTTATGGAGGGGAATTGAGTAGGGTTTGTGAGGGATAGAGGGAAAGTTGGGATTTCGAGCTTGATATTTGATATAATTTGAGAAGAACAAAAAATCTGTAGTTATATGGGCGGGATGATGATCCAGGAGGTCTGAGGATATACCTGGTAGTGAGCTTTTTACATAGCTTGCTTGTTATATATGTTAGCTGAGCTACCTAAGCTGAGGTATAAATACCTACTTCTAATGATAATGAGAGATGAGATGATATATACCTACCTACTATACAACAGTTCTTCGAATAAATCAGTTCATTCCCGATCTATCAAATGCAAGAAAGAGATGATAACAGTCATCTCGGCTCAAAAAGGATGCTTACAATCACTCTCGTGATACTGAAATATTTCAGTATTCGTCTATCCTTTGTATAATTCAATTATTTTGCTTGATTATTTTTCTATTTTTCTATTTTTCTATTTTTCTATTTTTCTATTTTTCTAAAGGCCCTACTATCTTCCGCGCTACTTCCTTCGACTCCGAAAGAAAGGGGGAAATGTGAGGAAAATGAGCGAAGAAGGAGAAGGAAGGAAGGAAGGAGAAAAGAAACTTGAAAGCATCGATGCGGTCTTCAATACTATCGATTATTGATGACAACAGTGATTATGATTGTCGCGCAAGCTCATCACCGATAGCCGGGAGTAAGATATAGGTGTGGTATGGGTATTCATTTTCAATTTCAATTTCATATCTATACTCACTACAATGTGATTGATTTCATGAAGTATCTGTAAGTTTATGGATGTTGAGTTTGGAGTGGGGAAGCTATGGCGGGATGGGAGTTGGGAGTTGAAGTTGGGGCGGGATTTATCGCTGTGGGTTGAAGTGGCGTTGAGGGGAGATTCGGATGAGTGTGGAGAGGGATGGGATGAGATGGTCGTGAGAGGTTGGGTGAGGGACTTGGGAGATGAAGTTTAGTGGGTGACTGTTGAGAGTGGGAAATCTAGTCTGAGGTCCGTACATCACGAGCCTGTTCACACGCTGACCTTCAAAAATTCTGTACAAATAACACCATCCCCAACACGAACAGTCTCCGGACAAAGATGCACCCGTAAACCAGCCACAGAAACCTATTGTCTCGAAGGGGGCTCAGCACACCTCGCTTACAGAATCTAGACTCTATTGCATATATCATCCCAACGAAATGGGATGAATGAAATGAAGAGAGAAGTGCATTTCAATGTACCTTGGTATGTTAAACGGATAGGAATTAACAGAATAGGATACAGATTATAGGAAGGAATAAAAAAATATGTATAGTTGGCGTAGAGATTTAGATGTCACGATTATTCGTGCGGACAAAGGAGATATATTGATTTTTCACAGGATCGCCACCACAGACCTTCTAATCACGTACGATTTTCTCCCTACAATCATTTATTGATTTGATTTTCTCAATTCAGTACTCTTTCTCGATTCCTCATGAGCTCATTTCTGATATGTCTACTCATCTTATTCAGAATAAAGAGGTTTATCGCTCGATAACACGTTTTCCTTTTTTGAAACATGGGCGTCGAAACTCATGGAAAGGAGAACAGTGCCAATATTTTTGACTCACACCGTTTTAAATAACACGTGAGTTGAACTGTTCAGATTGAATAAGAGAAGAGTGCTCAAATAATGGCTGAACAATGCTACGAAAACGGGTATATAGTGTACTGCAATTACTTTTTACCTTCAAGATTAAATTCTTCACTTTCATCTGCATCTTCATCTAATACAATCATTTCAATATCACCACTATCCATCACCAGCATCTTCATCACTTGAATTAACCAATCGCTCATACTGAAAGCTAAGCACTGATATCTCACGACTGAAACCCAAACCCTCACCCAGAATCCAAGTTTTCCAAATCACCCCCTTCATCACCATGTCACTAAGCACACAGCCCAAGAACTCAAACGCCGAGCTAACCCCCGAACCAGTCCCCATCAAGCGATGGAGCGGACGCAGCGGAAAGCTTCGCAACGCCAAGAAGAGGTATGCGAGAGAACTTCCCACTTTGGCACCGGAGTACAGGGAGCTTGGTAGAGATGCGGATAGAGCTACGGACAAGACTATGACCCAGAAAAGAAGAGCCGACCGAAAGAACAAGAAACTCGCGGAATCGCTTTCGGATCTTAGCATGTAGTAGCCACTTGGAGACGAAGTATGTATGATAAGGTGATTTGAAAGATTTCGAAAAGGCAACCTTGCCAACCAAAAAAATGATTAAAAAGAGGGAAACGCACAAAAAGAGTGACTTGAGTTTGAAATTTTACTTCAACAAAATTGACAAATAGTGTTTGATTTACATACTTTGCAAGATCGAAATGGGAACAGAACAACTCACGTGCTTCGAAATATAGAACGATAAAATAATAAACATTGTTGCATTTCTCAAACTGTCTCTAAGTGTGCGCAGTGAAAGCATTGTGATCATATTAAACGCCGTAAATCTAGTCCAAGTGCCAGGAACGCCTTTTCCACATTTCCATTCTGTGACCTAATGCGCCGTAAGTCCCCTATGCACCCACAATCATAAATTATGTACTCCTCCTCGTAGTATTAACATTACTGGCGTGAGCTAACAAGAATTTGCAGCATGTGAGAGTGTACTTGCACGCTTTACTCCACGCATCATCTTGTGCTATCCCTAGTTTTATACTAATTTCGCCTATCTTCTCTCCTTCGATTTTATATGGTAATTTAAGACCCCTTCCAGTTTCAGAGTTCTTGGCAGATTCCTGCTCAACAAAAGCGCCTAATTGACGCATACATTCAAGGAATGCCTCCATAGCTATATCAAATTTGCGATGCATAAATGTAAGGCCTAGGGGCATATCACCGGATGAATGAAGTTCAAGAATCGATTTCTTGGGTGGTTTGGGTATATTGGCGCGTTGTGAGCTAGAACGACTTGCAGACGGAGAGGGAAAATCAAAACGTATTATTCGAGAAGTAGAGCCCATAGGCTGAAGCTCATATCCATCAAATTTGAAGTTGAGACGACCCGCAACAGTAGCTAGGAGGAGTAATGCGTGTCCCCATGCTGCGTTGATTTCCGGCCAGTCGACCGGCACACTTGAGAGTCGTCCAAGTCGCAGGCCATTTATTGTACCAAACTTTCCGTCGTGACTTATACAAAATGTATCGTTATATACATTCGTTCTTTGTAATTTATCCAGTAGCTGTGAATCATGATCATATTGGAGATTGATGCTGTCTCGTATGTTTTGAAACTCCGAGAGCTTCATCGCAAATTCATTTCGATCACTCCAGAACTTTTCTTCCTCGATATCGAGAGCTCTGGCCTCTTCTTCTAGCTGTGCGTTTTCTTCGTTTACCGCAGCAGTTTCCGCTTCGATCTTCTTTAGTTCCTCTATTGCTGCGACTTCCTCTGCTTGTATCTTTGCAAGAAGGTCGTTGGCTTCCCTCACCTCCTCCTCTGTTGGTACTTCGGCGTTGACCTGCTTCAAAAATCCAACATACGCATCCCTTTCTCGAGTCGCAGCTTCTAATCGCTTTTGTAGTCCATCGACAAGCATCTCTGTACATTCAACACAAATAGGATGATCAATATCGGATTTCGCTGTGAGAATCTCGAAAAGTCTTGAAACCCGTTCCATTTCTCGCGACATTGCCTTGCCCCCATCACCTGCTGCATCGCTACTAGGCAATTCATCTTGATTTAATTTATTCGGGGTTGTGGCATCTGGTGATTTGGCAACTGATGGAGGTACGACTTGTGACTCTGTCAGCATGACAAAAGACATGGCTGGATTGTTCGCGCCACTTCTCATCGTATCTGATAGATTAGATTCATGTCGACGAGGAGCGGAGATTGTCCGCTTGAAAGTTGGTGGACTGGCATGCTTCGAGACACGATCATATAGTTGCTTTCGGTCTTGAGGATATGCTGGTCGCGAAGGGGGGATGTTTTTGGCTTGGTTTTGTGACGCAGCACCTAGAAATCAATGTTAATAAGCTCTGATTCTTCTCGAGGTGGTATGTAGATAAACTAGAAAACGATTACGAACCAACTAACAAATCAAATGCCGCAGGGTTCAGATCCTCCAAAGAGCTATCAAGTTTCAATGATGTCCGACACTTTTGACAATACATGTTGTCGATCTTTGACTGAAAACTGTTCAATAAAATTATGTAGAATCATCAAGAATCTATCGAGCAATGGATCTCTGGCATTTTGGTCCATCAAAAGTCTAAGAGAATTCTAAAATAAAAAGGGTTGTCAATTCACTCATTTATAAGTTATAGTTGGATCTGAGATGTAATTATTGATCCGATTGACATGATTGATACCTTGACGTATTTCGTACGGTAAAGCTAAATGTATGCTTACATAATCTTAGTTAGTTTGGTTACTAACCACTGCAACCCCGCCAATCTACTTTTAAGCTTTTTATGCATGTATGTACTGTACCTACCTACCTAGTACTATGTAATTTACACGAATTCAACGCGTATTCCCGAGATTTTTATGAAATACGGCTCGCGACTCTGATTAACTTCTAATCTTCATTTACTGAAATAGTGATGTACAACGGCGCACTCTTATGATTCCCACAACACTCTCAAATTTCGGACATGATTGCGAATTATCAATATGGAATCTCCAACAGAAAGGCAGAAGATGCCTGCTGATTCCAATCTTGTCGACCTCGAAGTTAACGACGAATACTCTGAGGATTACAGTGACACCGAGGAAGATGATTTTATGGTCGATGACGAGAACGACGATATAATCTACGAACCTGGATATGATCCCGATCAAGAACTTCAACAAAAGAGAGCGCGACTCGACTACAAATTAAAATCAACATTCGAATCAATCTTCGAAAAATATGGGAAAGATTTCGATGGAGTTGGAGATGAAATCGACTTGCTTACTGGGGAAATATTGGTCGATAATGGGCATTTAAAAGAGATGCAAGATGAGCGAGATGCTGGAAGCAAAAAGGCGGGAGGTAATCTGTTAAGAGCCTTGACCGTCGAACCAGAGAGTGTCACAGAGACATCCGGCGACGAATATAGCAATGTGGAAGAAGGAGATGATAGGGAAGAGGAAGATAACGTACGCGACAAAATATTTGATAAAGATGACGCGGCCGAGATGAGTGATGAGGATGTGGAGGAGGACGACATTATATTACGTGGATACGATGAATCGAATCAGGAGCCTCTCCTTGACATGGCATCTACGACAGAGACAGAATCTATTCGGAACAACACCCCTAGAAACGATTTACAACAGCGTCACGATGTACAATCTGAAGGGCACAGCATTTCTTTTCCTTCATATAATGAAATTCTACGTTCATTTGGACCTGAAGTTGCCCCTCAAATTGTGAGCCTTATTTCACAAAAGCAAAGTCACGATGACACTAATATCGAACCAGCCTGGAGAGCACCTGAACTGCCTTCACTAGAACCAAGAAAGCGGGCAGCATTGAGAGCTTTTATTCCCGAGCCAGAAACTGAGCGTAGTCCATCTCCCGGTATCTCTGGGTCAATATGGGCTTTACCAAGAGGACGAGGCGCAAAAGGAACTCCAAGAGCTCCTTTAAAACCAACATTGCTTTCGGACGGATTGAGCACTTCAAGTCATGCTGCCTCACCACGGGGACACAATTTATTCACGGAAGAAGAGGACAAGATGCTCGTCGCAAAGGTAGCTGAAGCACGCGATCAGGGCCTCCCGTTTGCAACGGAATCTATATGGGAAGGATTAGAAATTCTGAATAGTCGGCACTCGAGAGTTTCTTGGAAACAGAGGTACCGCAAAAAATATCTTCATTTGTGGTCTAAGGAATGCTCAACTAGACGAGATTCCCGTGGGTCATCTAATGAAAAAGGTCAAGAATCAGAATCGAGCATTAGATCTGTATCACGTAGTTCGCATCCGATATCTTCCTTCCAACGATCTTCCAGAACTCGAAAGCCCGCACAGCAGGCATCGACTTTAGTTAGTTGGTCAGATGCTGTGGCCACAATCAAATCTTTGGACCGTAGACTACACAAAGATTTAGCTAGAGACGCCAGTGTATTTGACTTGACAGATGTCAGACCGGTGGATGTAGATGAAGACGCCTTGAATTTGAGGAGCTCTGATTTGGACTCTTCGGAAGAAAGTGATGATCAGCCGGAACTTCGTACACAAATCGGCCCTAGGGTACAGAGGATTGCGCCAGTCACTGTTAATCCTGCCTACGAATTCTCGGATGAAGAAACCGGGGCTAATATTGAGGCGACGCAACAATCAAAAGGCTCAGTAACCAAGATCAAGAAAGGAGCAAGAAAATCGAGCAGCAGCAAATCGAAAGATAGAACTAGTACAAAATCAAAATCTTCTGAAAGGAAAAGCACAACGAAGTTTGTGTCAGAGGAGGTTGATGAGTTGAGCCTTGGCCTTGAGGGAGAGGATGTTTTATTTCTCTACTCATTGCCAGGAAAGGACAAACAAAAGGAGCCTCAAGCTACTATCAAACGAGAGGAAAAACAAGTAGCAGTCTCAAAAATAAATGCTGTCGCTTTCGTACCGCCGAAGGAAGGGTTGAGCGTCCTCGAAGATTTTGATGAGTTTGACGAGCTCAGTGCCGAATGGCCACAGTCTCTACCTATCGCTTCTCTCGAAAAACCTACACTTGAGATAAAATCTGAGCCTGAGCCTGAGATTGTTGATGTTGACGTTGCAGTAGCCTTACCCAATAGAGTAAATGAGACGGGAATTGTTATATTTGATATCAATCAAATTCCGGAAACATCTCCGAGAAGTGCTCTGGACTCACGGAGGAAACATAGGACGAACAGAAAATTCAGCAGTAGTGCTGTTATTCCCTCAACTTCGCAAGTTGAGTCGTCACCTACTGTTGCAGTCGATGAAAGGATACATTCGAGAATGCAACAGAGGAGAAATTCTGTTGATAACGGTCCTGTACCGCGTACCTCGTCGCCTACTCGGTCCTCCCCTACACCTCGTCCTAAAAGAAAATTCGTTGACCTGGATGAGAAAGAAAATACACCCCTTACCCCATCACATCACGTTAACCAAGAGATTGTGACACCTACATCCGACTCTGAGGATCTAGCTCTCCAGAACATGATCAATGGTAACAGAACGCCTACCATATCACCACACAAGAGGAGAGGGGGTATCATCACACCCACTCGCAGTGAATCAAGGAAGTCAAGAACGCCTCTTCTTGACTATACCACACCTACCCGAAGAGATCTTATGAGAAAGAGGGGATTGAGAGATTCATCACGTAGTCCAGGAATGGTGAAAACGCCGGGAGGAACGCTTAGAAGATGCGGTATAGATGGGTTCGCATGTCAGAAAGCTTTTTGCTTTAGATGTGGATTGAGTGCTAAACGAATGGGTGAATAGGCGACGGAATAGATAATATAGTATACTTCGGAGAAAGTACCGACATGGAAGATATTTGCTTATGATACTGACATTCGCTACAACATCAATAAAAATAATATAGCAGAAGCTATTTAATAAACCAAAAATAAATGTGTTCCCACAATGATTATAGGCGGGTGATACAAAAGTATCTGTTTCTGTTCTAATATTCCAACACTCTGACCCTGTAATAAGACTTACACCACACTAAAACTCAAACCACCAAACAAGCCATCAAACCGGCATAGCATAACTAGGTAGGTGCCCAGATACCCTGAGCACTAGTTATCAAGAAGAAAGTTAAAATACCGGAGATGACATCGTCGGGTAGTAGGGTTTCGATTGTATACTGTATACCTACCTACTCCCAACACCGACATTTGAACACCGACACGGCGTTCGCTTAGCAGATGGAGACTCACGGAGTGCAATTACAAGTCCCCTCAAGGTACAAATGGGTCTGTGTGGGGAGAGAAGGTCCAGAGCGAACCTTGAAAGCCATAGATTCTGCTGATGTTTCTGTTTCTAACTTGCCGTGAGCCGTTTTGCCGTTGTTTTGAGTGTTTTGTGTTGTGTTGTGTGATGCGGTGTGGAATTGGGATTGGAATGGGAATGGAATGGGTGGATGTGAATAGAGAGATGGATTGAATTTGATGGATTTCGATGACTGTTCCCCGCGCGTCCGATATCGGTTGGATTGAAGATCTGTAGTTAGAGAGTAAGGGATGGGAATCTTGCATCTGGATTTATTGCTGGGTTGCGGGTCTATGGTTATGGTTTTGTAGAGAGTGCTAAACTTTCTCGTGAGGAATGTGTCCGCCTCGGGGAAGACATGTTACGAGATTTGTGGGGTAGTTGTGATGATAGTTAAAGTACCGCGAGACCACAGAGGTATCTAGTGATTGATGATTTACGAGGATGAGGAGTGGGATAGAAGGGGAATTGAAATAGTCCACCTACTTGAGGGATTGAGCAATTTTTCACATGGGAAATGTATCAGATATTGAGAATCGAGATGACAACTCTAAACAACCAAAATTCGAGAACCAATCCTTTGATCACGACATCGTTCGCATCGTGTTGTGATACCTACCTAGCACATACTAACCATCCCAGGTTCGTAAAAACTCAAAGCCTAGAATCTACAATGACATTCGTATACCCATGATGAATAGCGTCCAAGGCTCCAAGCAAGTGCAGAAATTGCAGGATGTGAAAATGTGAAAATTTCAACACGTTGGCTGGGAGTTTGATCGCTATGAGCAGTTGTAAGAGAGATATGTGTCAGAGGTGATCGTGTACGTTAAGTATTTGCGATGTTGAATTAAGGTCGCGAAAATTTCGTTTAGTGCATGCTTCGGGAGTGGATACGAGGGTTTGCGGTGGAGATGAAGGAGTTGCGCTTTTCCTGGAATGGGATGTGGGAGTGTTTGGTGGGGAGGAAAAGGATAGGAATACCTTTGGAGGAAAGGTTGGGTTATGGGGTTCCTGGGATTGGGGATGGATGTTAGGTTGATGGTTGAAAGGCGTAGGGAAGAGAAAGTTTGAGTGGTCCGAATGATGTGATGTGATGGGAATGGAAAACGGATAATGTTGACTTTCCAGACTTGGGTTCTTATTCCTAAGATGGTTCGGAGTTGGGATATTGGCATTCCGGATGCATCTGAGAGATAATACCCAGCTACTTATTAGGTAGTAGGTGTTGAACATTCACTTGCTGATTTGAAAAGTTATCATTGAGCCTTACGAGAGACGGACTGTCCGATGAATCTGGGTTCAGATATTATTTCATTAATATTGTAAGTTATGGAAATTGAGGTTTTGGATTATGCGGCATAGTACGAGTAGTATCGATTATAGATGACAACATTTCGACGGATTAGTAATAATACAACATATGTATGCCCAGGAGCCCGGCTCGCTCAGGGCGTAGATTCTTGACAACCTAAAGAGTGAAGGGCGTACTGGATCGATGTAGGGATGGATCATTTGACATCCACTACTAAATTAGTGTCAATTTCCCGCACTTCACTTCCCTTCCCTTCCCTTCCCTTCAGAGCACGGACGGAGGGTCCTAGATTGTTGGAAAGTCGAGACATCAAATAGAAATTATTCTATACGATGCATCAAGGGCGCATATCTGACAAGCTTGACTCACATTCAAGGTTTGTCATGGATGCTGGTGTTATTTTCTGGAGATACTAGTCAAGATGAAAGCATCACTCCCGTAGGTATTGTTATATATAAAGGTAATCATCCATCATCTCTTCCTGTTTCCAGACTTCCAGATTTCAAAAAGTGTCACCAAGATACGAAAACAGCTTCACATCAATCATATATTTGGATTCGGCATTTCACAACTGATATCAATCTGCAATTGTCGATTCCTTCCCTTTTCTTATCAAAGTTACACCCAAGAGCCTTTAGGGCACATATTTCCCCGCATGATCATATATCCAATCGCACTTGTCTAAACATCGTTCCCCTCCTATATCGCATACCCTCTTCTATTCTGTCCAGCTTCTTTTTCAAGTACCTTCAGACAGAATGTCTGCTTCAAGTGTATCCTCTGGCTCGGGAACAATTGCTACTTATGCCAAGAAAATCAACTCGATCAAACGACCAGATGTCAAAATTCTTCTAGATGACCACCATGATGGAAAGACCTATAGAACATTCGATGGTTTGTCGGGTAAGGCCTCAATCACAGCTCCCCGTGATGCGGAATTCGATGAAATTCAGATTACCCTCGAAGGCGTTACTCGAACATACGTCGAAGCCATGTCTCATTCCAGCGCAATGTCCAAGACAACAGCCGTACACAGATTTCTGAAGCTCGTCATGCCAATTCGAGAAGCTGCATATCCTCAACCACGAATTGCCGAAGCTGGCAAAACATATATCTTTCCATTCAACTTTGTCATCCCAGAACAACTTCTTCCAACAGTTTGCTCGCATGCATGTGATGCCGATCATGTCCATCTGGCACATGTGCAATTGCCTCCGAGCATGGGCGATCGCGAAACATCCATACTAGATGACTTGGCTCCAGAGATGACCAAAATCCAATACTCAATCAATGCCAGAGTTATCAAACACAATGATTTCCCAAAGAAACAGATTTCTCTGATTGAGGGCTCGAAGAAACTTCAGATAATACCTATGGTGGTGGAAGCACCTCCTATGAGTATCTCAGATGATGACAAGAATGACTACCAGCTGTCAAAGACAAAGTCTCTGAGAAAGGGTGTGTTCTCTGGAAAGTTAGGGGAAATAACGGTTTCGGCCGATCAAACTGGAGCATTCGTTCTTCCATCTCCTGAAAGCTCCTCAGGGGCTACATCAATGGCAACTGTTAAGCTACAATTTGAACCACACGATTTCAACTCACAGCCACCTCGTCTTGGTAGTCTAGTTACCAAAATCAAAGCGATAAGTTTCTATGCTACCAAGCCGGCAGAATCCATCTCTTCCAAATCGAGTAAGGTCAAGAACTTCGATCCCGCCCGACGACTTTATCAAACCTCGGTTCCTCTTTCGTCAAGATGTGTTGAGCAGGTTGCGTGGGTGAAGCACTTACCACAACCAGACTTGTTCCGACGAGCTTCTACCATATCGTCTAGTTTGTCGTCTAGTTCGTCTGAATATTCTGATAATTCACAAATGTCGCTAAAGCCACAGGACAAGATCTACTATACAGCAGAAATTTTAGTCCCAATTTCATTGCCTTCGTCGAAGACTTGGATCCCCTCATTCCACTCGTGTATCGTCTCTCGAACTTACTCATTGGACCTTGCCTTATCTATTCATACTCCAGGTGCAGGAATTCCAGCTTCTACGATCAAACTTTATTTTCCAATACAGATTGCAGCTCAAGGCAACCGAACTGCGCCACTCGCTCTCACGGCAGAAGAAGCGGCTGCTGAGCTAGCAGATGCGAATGAGTATCTCAGACCACGAGTTATTGAGATGCCGAGAGAGGATTCGATTGAGAATAGTATTCTGCGTTCGAGCTCTACCGTTCCACGTCCGGAATTACCTCCAAGCTATGAGCACACCGAGGTATCAAGCAGACCAGTTGATCCATCAAGGTGTTGATTTAGAGTGGATTCGTTTGTTTTGCGTCTTTCTTTCTACTTTTTGGGTAAAATGGTTGGGGAAAGCAAGCACTTGATTTTTGAGTACATAATACACGATCTGTAATGGGAGCTTTGCGATACCAATATGTATTTTTGATTGGGGGGTTTGGAATTTGGGAATTTGCTGGAAGGCACACTTACGAGTACAAGATACCCTTTTACTTATTTACTCTGTAGGTACCTAGTACACGTTAGGTGTACTTATAGACAATTAATAATAACTCACCGTTCTGCAATAATAATGTCTCTCCCAATCATTGATTCATTGTGAGGACCCACAGGACACCCCAATCTCACCAAACGATTCTTCTAAATGTTCTTTCTATAGAATCCAGTCTTAACGTTCTAAACGCCTTCCATATGATTCAGAGACCCACCGGTCTTCTGACGCCGTGTATAGCCCCGCGCAACTCCACTAACCATCATCATTTCCAGGGATATTGAAAACTACGCGTCTAAATTTGACAGGCTCATAGGCTCTGACGCTCAATACAAGGCTGCTGTCGGTGGGCTCTTCCACGGATACTCTGTATATCACACTGGTGTTATGCCTGCCAGATGGATAGTAGCCGACCAGCCATCTTCAATACAGATCATTCAGATCATCATACAAACCAACAAAAATCATAATCGAGTACTTCATCCAAAATACAAGAACGAGTTGAAGAAGACCTTTCCTCCCGTCGTCACTTTGTGAATCAAGACCAACGAATTTCATACCTCTTCAATTAACCCTTGTACTGTCTACCTAGGTACCCCAGAATCACCAGCATCCCACCGCTTGTCTCATCCACACTCGTCCCATAGCACGGCAAAATCAGCCTACGAGACCGATACCTGATGATTTGCCAGCTCATGCCCAATCATTACGATTATGACTGGTGATGAAATTTTGCGCAGCATCATTCATTCATACATGAATAAGAAAAGATCTTCTTCTGTCGTTGTACAAACCATTTAATTACTTGATTCACGAATAAAATCCTACGGTACCTTTATTCGTATCTACATACATACATATATGCTTGCGATCCGCTCTATCGATGCGGACAAAACAGCTAGAGAAAACGAATGCGATGCCAAAATATAATAGCCAACAACAACAACAACAACCATATCGATCATTTTCGACAAATTGAGGGACTGAGATATCGAAATCATATTTTGTGAGTATGGCGCAGACTCAACCGCAACCGCAGGAGAATACTCCCAACGTGGGTCCAAAAGAATTCTATGGATATTTGTTTGATGAGAATAAGAGTCCGACGCCAGTGTTAAATGCGCTATTGAGAGGAGTCGCGAATCATATTGTAAGGATTGTTCAAACTTTCGCGATTTTACGCTTTGAGTTTTTATGCTTATGATAGTGGCAGATAGAGAATGTGGGAAGTCAAGAAGATAAATTTCTCACGCCAGAGAAGTTGGCACTTTTCTATAAAGCTGTTGGTGGAAATTATGATTGTAAGTTCTTCTTTTTTTGGAGGGGAGGGGTATCTAGTTTCGGGTTCCCGTCGTCTTCCTTGTCTATCCGCCATTTTAGAAGCGTGCTTGCTAATAGCTTCCGTTTGCCTTACATAGCTCTTTTTGTGGAGACGACACATCCATCCATCTCTTGGATTTATGCCTCGATAGGCTGTCAACATGCATTAAACCCGACGAAAGATGATTTTGCCCCTCCTTCGATACCATGTCTCACTGTGCGAGGCTTCGTACGATGGCAATCGATCGAAATCCTTTTGGGGCCCGAGGAACATGTGCCATTCCTCCAAACCGCTGTCCGAGAATTCGAAATCAAAAACCCAGATACGGGGGAGAGATTCCCAATTGATTTGCCAGAGGAAGCGTTTCCTTTGGTACCGGATGCGGGAATAGAGGAGTGGCATCGGACGTGTGCAGAGAAATTACGTAAACGAGCAACGCCGGATGATGAAGAGGATGCTCCCATACCAGACCTCCCGCCGAGACCAAAAGTACAAGCAACATATGTTCATGTTCGGCCTTCGCCCAGGATCCCAGAGCCAACACCAACAAATGCGGCGCATCCCCGTAGCGGCTATTTCGAGCCTTCCACTCGTGAGTCTACCCGTGAGTCTACTCGCGAGCCGCCTCGGGAATCTACTAGGGAATCTACGAGGGAATCTACTAGGGAATCTACGAGGGAATCTACCCGTGAGCCTCCCCGTGAATCTACTACTCGTCGACCCAGTCGACCTATACCTTACACCCACGTCTCAGCATCTCGACCTCAACGACCTCCTCTTAACCGATCACCCACTCATCGAGTTCGTCAATTTCTCGCTCCAGAAGAACCATATGCACCCCGCATACCCCGCGGTCGTCATCGCAGTTTTCCCAATCTAAGTTCGCCCGTCTCAGAAGACGCTCCCTTCCACGCCCACCCCGCTCCTCCCGTCGATCCCCATCATCCCCATCATCATGTCCCGGTACCGGATCCTCCCCACCCCGCTCACCCTCGGCGACATAGTCATCCGCGACAATCGCGACACGCACCTATTGTTTCCGATTCCTCCGATTCGTCCAGTGATACCAGCGTGACTTCCGATTCAGAAGATGATCCTTCGCCGAAAACTCGGACGATTCCGATCAAAACGTCGACGAGTGGACGGCACATACCAAGACATCCGCACACTGCTTATATGTCGCGAAGTGCTGGAGCGGATAGTCCTCGGGTGTTTGCATTTCCATCTACGGCGCCGGGTAGTACGATGCCGTCTCCGATTTCGGATGCGAGGGAAAGAGAGAGGGAGAGGGAGAGACAGAGAGATATTGAGGAGAAAGTCAGACGGGGTCAGTATCCGACTAATATTGATTTGAATGGGAAATTGAGCGCGCCGTTCTTGGCGGGGAGGAGGAAGAGAGAGGCGGGGAGAGGATCGGTTGATATTGATAGGGAGAGGGAGAGGGGAAAGGGAGAGAGAAAAGGGAAGAAGTGATAGTAGGGGTGTGAAGTGGAGGGATTTGGGGGATATTGCGGAGATGTGGAGGAATGGGGGGATGAGAGGGGAGGGTGTCAGTAGTCATTCTCATCATGTGAGTGGAGGGAGTGGTGGAGAAAGTGGGAGAGAGAGTGGAGAAGGGAGAGGGAGTAGGAGACACAGTAGTCGAGAAAATAGGAGTGATAGGGATAGAGATAGAGATCGCGAGAGGGAGAGGGAAAGAGATCGAGATCGAGATCGAGACCGAGATGACAGGGATAGGGGAGATAGGGAAAGAGATTATAAGAGAAGGGAACGACCTAGGTTACAAACGAGACATAGTAGTCATGAGGAAATTCCCACCAGAAGAATCAGAACGGAAAGAGCGGATCGAGACAGAGATGATGAATATGAAGGGAGGAGTTTCAGAGAAAGAGATCGAGAGAGAAGAGAAAGGGTTGTGAGTCCTGTGAGGGGAGTAGATGGGAGGAAATATCCGGATTGGAGATGATGATGATGATGATGATTTATGAAGATTGAGAGGATGAATATCTGTTTGCGATGGAGTTTGGATGGATCTAAATAGAGGTGTGGAGGGATAAATACATTAAGCGAGCGAAATGCAATTCGAATGACCAATGAGTATTAAATGATGGATAGATGGATGATTAGTTCATACGTTGTGTTCTTTGCATTATGTTTACGTCATTCAGCAAATACGAGATACCAGGATGCCAATGATGGATAGATAGATAGATGGATGGATGGATGAATCGAAATAGGAAATTTGTATCTCCTTAAGTGTAGGGGGCGTTTGGGCGAGCTTGTTTTGCCTGCTTTTCTTGCCTTTTCTTGTCTTGCCTTGTCTGGGCCACTGGGTGACTTCATATTGAATTATCAAGCAAGCAATTAATTTATCCACTTTTAGTGTATGAGACCTTGAGGTATGGAATCTAATCTTACCTTGGCTGCAGATAGTAGAACCTCCATACCTCCCTACCTACCTACCTACCTACCTCGCTCTCGCTAGGACGTGTAGTATACCTAATAACGGTACTTGCTACTTTTCTTACTGTTCACATTTTGCAAGCTTCTTTATTCAAACTTCAAATCCCCTCTCGTTATTTACCTACCTATCTAGGTAGGTAGATAGGTACATCGAATAATTTCGCCTTGGTACAAGTCGTAGGCGATAGGGATGGATGGCGAATCCCCTACATCAAAAATTCTTTGTTCTCTTTGCAAGTGTTACGGAATTGGAGGGAGGAGTGTATGGATTTGGTTCCCTAGGTACCTGGGTATGCATGTTACATCCAATCTGGAAATTGCTCTTGCAGCATTCAACTTGTCCGTCACCACTTCACACGCGATCGAGCAAGTTAACATCTCACATTTTTTGAGTCTCTTCAACAAAGCTCCCTTCCTATCTCTCCACGAGCACAACATGAATCAAATGGAAAACGAACTTAAATCTATAGTATCGATAAAATTGATGTTACTACCGAAAGCTCTGTGTGTATCACATGCTAGACATCCATCGATCTTCATTTACTCAAATGCGATATGTGAATATTCATCGAAAATAACATAACCGCAATCTAGGGAGACCTGTGGGAGGTATTTCGAGTAAACTCCATGCTTGAAAACCACCCTGAAAACAAAAATTTCACCTATGCACTCCTTTGCCCCTAAACCATCCATAATAAAACCGAACTGAGAAGAGAAATTTTCGCCGAGGAATAATTGTTCAAGAGAACTAGAGAATGGTTAGAAAAGATAATCAGAGGGTGGATAGGAGGTGGGATAATGCATACCTTCCAGCGATGACCACAAACTTGACATTCGCAGAAAGTCGTCATAGGTTCATCAGCACTGCGAGTCTGTGCTTGCGAATAGCTGACTTTCTTCTGACCACACTTTCCGCACGTCAAAGCATCACTAATACTCTTCTCCGCCATTGGTACCTGGGCCTTCTTCATATTCTCCAACTCTAACGCGTCATCTTTCTTCTTCATCTCCTCGGACTTTAGTTCCTCATGCGTCATGACGACAAAACGAGCTGGTTCAATATCTCCCGACATGACTCTCTTGCGCAACTGCGTATTGGATACTTGTTTGAGATTTTGAAAGAGGGAACGAAGCTTCTCTTTATATTCCTTGGTCTCACCTCCAAAATGATCGTACGCCGCTTGTTCAACAGCCATAGCCTTGATAATGACATGAGTGGGAGGTTCTTCGCATTTGAAAGCAAGACCATTATACATTAATCCAATACAAGCATCGCGTGTTGGAAGACCCGTACGCTTCGTATCGACTTTATCAGTTTCCCATCTTCGCTTTGAAGAATCGCCCTTGAAAGCTTTCGTGACGGGGGCGCTAGGCGCGGGCGCAGGAGAGGAAGTACTGTTACTACGAACTGCGGGAGAAGATCCGGAGGCCATTTGCTTTGCTTTGCGCTTTTCTTTTTCGGCTTCGACTGTTTTTTTCCACTTGGTGACGATTTCCGTGGCAAGCTTGGCAATGTCTTTATTCGCGTTTCCTCGTTGTTTGGCTACCACCATTCCTGCCTTGGTTGCCTAGAGAATATATTGATCAGTTCATGTATGCGAAGGTTTATCGTGGAGACACAAAGACCCAGAAGAGCTTGTTGAGGAATGTAGCCGGTTGTAGACATACCCTAAGAAGTTCTTCAGTGGCATTTACATCTCTCTTCAGAGTTTCCATAATGGTAATGACGTTCGCTGCCGGCTCTTTGTCATTGATCGCCTTTTGAAGAGCCGAAACTCTGGAGGTCAGTTCTCTTTGATCCATTTTGAAAGAAAGGAGATGGAGGGGTTTTGATTGTATGCGATTGTTGTTTTTGTTGCAGACCGAGAGGAAATGTTCGACGATATCGAAGAATCGGATTTGAGGCTGCGTGGATTCTATGTACGAAAATGAATTGAATTGGGTATCAGAAAAGTAACCAGATAAATTACAAAAGAAAGTGTGTCGTTGAGAAGGTTTTTGATAATTGTTTTCTGAGAGTTTGATGATTAAATATCACAAGGCTGATGTTACGGCCAAAAATGGTGTGCACGGGCCAATTGCTTGTGTTGTGTTGTATAAACTTTCCCAGCAGCGAAAGGCAAAGTTTCCGTTTGCACTTCATCTCACATCCTGTATCATATACCGTCAGTTGTACTTGTTGTTTTCTCAAAGAGATTGACATTCAAAGTTGATGTTGAATGTTGTGTTTGGTATTGCTTAAAGTTTGAGAATACACAATATGATTATCCTCATTTCAGTCCAGCATTCGAGCGCCAATTGAGTAGAATTTCTTGCGGCTAGATTGCAAGGTGTTGGATGATTTGTATCACGCATAGGAATCTTAACATCTTCCAGAGATTCTCTCTCTTTTTCCCAGTGGAATTAAAAGTGTTAAGTGTATGCTTTGACCAAAAAACAATGGAAAGGATATATCCTTTATCTTTATCCCCAAACTCTGCGATCTCCTGAGTACCTCCGTGTTTACATCGAGGATATTACGGATATTTCGGAATGATCCACCAACGTAGACATGCACATCTATGAAGCTTAGAGACCAGCATGATCTCGACCGGCAAGTTAAACAATGGGCTATGCTTGCAAAGTCGACCTGTCAGCGCAACATTTTGAGTCATTGTACGAATGAGTATTGAGTACGCCCTTGCTTTGAAATAAGTATAAATATGACAAATTTTCCTGTGTTTGTCCATTCACCATATTATCAAGCAAGTTCTTCCTAAACCTCACCTCTTTTCTTCTTATCACCTTCTTCTCACATCCCATACAATCGCCACAATGCAGCCACTCGCTGGGAAAGTCGCCCTTGTAACCGGTTGAAGCGAAGGAATCGGTCGGGCGATTTGTCTTCGTCTCGCACGCGATGGTGCAATAGTAGTCATAAAGTATAACATTGACTCTTCGTCAGCAAACGAAGTTGCATCAATTATCGGAGAGAAGAACGCTACGGTTATTAAAGCTGATGCCGGCAATGTTGAAGATATCTCGAGATTGGTTGATACAACCGTTGAGAAACATGGAAAGATCGATATCTTGGTTGCCTGCACTGCAACTATGAGGTTGAATGAATTGGAAAATGTCACTGGTGAGGAGTTTGATCAGGCGTTCGATTTAAATGTCAAGGGTCCTTTGTTTCTCGCCTAGGTACGTCGTATATCCAATTGTTAGTCATGTGGCTTTCTAATGGTCCTAGAAATCCGTTCCTCGTATGGCATCCGGTTCTCGCATCATACTCTTCTCCACAACCCAATGCCACGCCAGCACAGTAGCACCACAATATTTAACATACATTATGTCGAAAGGTGCCATCGAGCAAATGACCCGAGGTCTTTCGAAAGATCTAGCACGAAAGAGTATTATGGTCAATACTGTAGCGCCAGGACCAACGGCGACCGAGCTATTCTTCAGAGGCATGAGTGAACAACTTTTGAAGACACTTGCTGGCTTAAATCCTCAGAATAGAATTGGAGAATCAGATGAGATTGCAGAAGTTGCATTCTTGAGTAGCGAGGCAAATTTGTGGGTGACGGGTCAGACACTTCAAGTGAATGGTGGAATGGCATAACTGCAGGGCACACTAGCAATCAGACTTTTTCTCCTATTCCCTTAGCGAGTTTACATTCAGTACGGTATGCTTAACAATACGAAGGCCTTATATGATCAAGAAACAGGAACATTCAATTCTCCCTTGGTTAGTGATTATCAAAAGCTAGTAGTCTTCGGTAGTAATAAAATGATTGAAATAAGCATTACCATTCTTTATGCCTTCTAAGGACAGCAGTTAATTCCCACGTCCCTTTCACGCAGCACTAGCATCCATCTTCCCATTTTCCAAGAGATCTGTCGTCCTGTAGATGTAAGGATCACAATCCGGTTCCTCTTCTAACACTTCTGCTCCTTCCTATTTACGATGTCAGTACCACAGTTCTATGCCGTCTCATTCTGTTTCCACGCCCATAAAAGCTCGAGGAATCGAATCAAATTCTAACATCAATATCTCCAGCTCTTCACTCCCAACCACTTTTCTCCTTTCCACTCTACCTATTTGCACAAGATTCCCCAGCTAAGACCAAGCCTTAAAAAAACAAGACTCACAGGAATAGGAACCATAGCCCTCTTAACCCAAATATGTTTCGCCATTTTCCAATCCAATCCCTCAATACATCCCCCCTTTACACTAACAACGCTTTTTCCAGGCGTGCTGTGGATTAACCGTGTGCCACATGTTTTGCAGAAATAACAGTTCACCGTGTGTCCTGAGGCCGTGGGACGACTTTGGGAGAGGAAACGTTAGTTTTTCTGGCTATTGTCAGGGGAGGAGGAGCGTATAGAATTGATAGAGGGGAAAACGGAAAAGGAGAAAGAAGAAAAAGAAAACCAACGTATAAACCGCCAAAAACTCCGGACACGGCAATGGGAATCGAGGAAAGATAGCAGAAGCGCCAAACGCGGAGGAGGATTGTCGTTTGCATTCCTATAGATCACTAGTGTTAGCTCCTGGTAGTATTCTCGTAATTGTTTCATCCATCCGTTTATCCATCCATCTCATTTATCTCTGCATCTATTTCTTCCGCAAAACTCCAGAAATCCACATACATCTTATGACTAACTCACCAACCCGAGAAACACAAACATGGAGGAAACAGAATCTTACATTACAATGACAAATATAAAGCGCCAGCGGTTTCGCCAACGGTGTTTTAAAAACTACATTTTGGCATTCGCAGGAGACGTTCATGGTTGCTTGCTTGCTTATTGGTTGAATTGGATATTGAGATGGGAAAGGTGGGGTAGATACCTAGATAGATAGGTTGTGCGGAGGAGGTGAGATTCAATTGCAAAGATTGAGCTCGATAGAAATTATTTTGATCTCCTCCACGCTAAAGGATCATTGAGGAAGAATAAAGATGCAAAAGAAAATAAAGTGCTTAGAAGATATAAGGTATTGTATGACACAATCTGGGAAATCTCGCAGATGAGAGATGCATGCACGGATGAGAATGAGATGACTCCCTGCTTGTGAGGGTTTGAGTCATCGTCACATGATGACTTGTCTATAATCTCAAGTTCGTGTCGCGCTTTTTGGCCTCTTGCTAATGATTTTTTTGTTATTAAATAGTTATGAGGATACCGTTAGCTATTATGTAAATTCGTGATTATTAAATAAATTGCGCTGGTAAACTGAACGCGAGCTTCGTTGCGACTTAAATGTCAGACTGGATGAATCAAGAGGAACTTCAAGACGAGAGTTGATTAAAGAAAAGATGAAAGCTACGCCCTTATAGATTTCCATATTTGACTTAAAAAATAGTCGACGTTATATGACAATGTTCTGAATGGCTCATCTCAATGAGCTAAAGCATCAGTACTTTGTCGATCTTGTCCATGTGATTGACGACCTTCCTCTGCACCATGCTGACCTCTTCCGGCATCAGAATGCTTTGCCGGATCAAATACATAGATGGGAAATTCCAAGAAAATTGTTCTTTTCATTATCGTAGGGAGTTTCTCATAAATTTGTGGTGGGAAAGGGATGAGAATGCTCGTTCGGTTTAGATATCGAGAGTATTCCTGCCAGTGATTGTCCTTCTCGTATCGTTTCTTTGCACCAGGTCTTTCTTGAAGTGTCAAGCCAGATACGAACATGAGTAGGGTAGTAAGGAATATTGCACCGAGTATTGAAGCATAGAGAGCTGAACGGGCTCCTCCATGAACATAGCCTTCGGCGGCAGGTGAGACTGCAATCATATAGATCGCTACGATGGATTAGTGAGAAAAATATTGATTTGTATGAGAACGCCTACCAAACTGAATGATGATCTCTCCAAAATAATTTGGGTGACGACTCCATGAGAAGAAACCTTTGTCGCAAATTTTGGATTTGTCGCTATTGTTGGCTTTGAAGAGATATTTCTGAATATCGCTCACACTCTCCATGATAATACCAATACCGTAAAGAATGACTCCCGCGATATCACTAGCCGTGCCGAAAGCAGGCTGGGGGAATCTCGTGACTTTGGGGGAATTTAATATGGTGACTGGGAAAGAGACAACCCAAACCCAGAACATTTGAAATACCCAAAACCCAAGAAATTTGAAAAAATTGTCACGCTTATCATCGAATCTATCATCTTTTCCGGTTTTCAGAATTCGGAATAATAGGAAAGCTGATAAGCGTGCTCCCCATACCATGATGAAAAGAGAAGCGACGATTTGACGTGCATGGTGATGACCACTGAACGCAAGCGTTATAATGGCAAGTACAACAAAATTCGTTCCTCCAGCAAAATCTGAAATTAATATTAGCAGTGAATTTTGGTATGTCTCGAGAAAACATAAGCTTGGTCTGACCTGTAAGTTTGTCAAATTTAAGAGTGAATGCAATTGCGAAGAAAAATAATTGATATGCAACTGTAATCAACAACGTTATTGCGAGGTAGTAATCGTCCAGCACACGGACGACGGTCATATCTGCGATATCCAGCTGAACGTGTCTAAATGCGACCGTGGTGATGGTTCTTTACAATGATTCGAAGTTGTGAGAATGTCTCGAAGCAGAGGGGGGAGAAAAGTAAATAAGATCGAAGCATGGGATGACAAGGCACTACTTCTTGCCGTGTTGGGGGAGCTTGATGTCAGTCTAGCTTCTAGAACTCGCCGTTCCCGTATTTGAGTCAACTAGTAGTAGATATTACCTCTTAGTACCGGTAATGGGATTGTTCATTTGATAATGGAGTATAATAGTCACAAAATCAGAGAGCATCAAAGTGTGTTGAATGACCGATGTGGCTTAAAAATGTTTTGGTTGGAGATGGACAGTTGTAAATGCACTTCGGACCCCATGAAACTCCGATGGGATTCTTTCCTCTCTCCCCTTCATCGTTGAAACATCTGTGAAATCGATGTTTTTACCTTGGTATTTCGTGATAGATTTTCGCTAGATCGTGACGTACTCTATGTAGATGGGTAGTCTAACTTACACTGATTATTAATTAATTTTTACATATCGATCGAGGCTAGCTCGGCTAGTGTCACTCTAATAACAAGAGTCCTACGAAGTACATGTCCTACATAGGTAGGTTATTGGCTGGTAGGTACGGACACGGAGTACAATAGATAGAAGTCGGAAGTTAATACACCCGATCGTCTCTATGTATTGACTTTTAAGCTTAATTTGCTACCCGAGTCCCGGCGTCTGGAATTTCGACTCTATCACGTGTCTGCATCCTAGACACTCGCATACATTACTGGGTAATCTATGCAAGGCTGAACATCATCCTGGGTTTTAATATATTTATATATCTAATCCGTCTTCCATCCTTCTAATATCACAAATTTGTCGCGTCTCGAAGAAAGAAACACATCGAAATTGTTTCTGCGGATTATCACAATCTGCATGGAATAGCCCTAGACACATAAGGCTAATCTACATATCCCATATCTGACACGTCGTCGTCAAACATATTCTATCACACATCTCTTCATATTCAAGATCCGATAGGACAAAAGCAGCAAAGGTTCTAGTTGCGAATTTCGCCGTTTCTGAAGGGGGGTCAAACATTTCAGCGTGATCCTCCCTAACATCATCGCGCACTCGATTCAATTTTCTGATTCCACTTCCACCATGCCTTATACACCCAAGGAAAACCGATGGAGTGTTCACAAAGCTTGTTTGGCATTGCAGAACCCATAATTCTCATTGGACAACATACTGAGAGTAAAATCTGTACAATGGTTTGGAAATTCTTACGCCGCCAAGCTAGTCTGAAACCCCACACGTCTGGGATTCATTTTCCCCATACCTGGTGTACCTTCAAAAACTCTCCGACGTTTGAGATTCTTGCATCTCTTACATCCTAGGCAATATTTTATCAAAATTACTTCAAGCCACCACTTGTGAAGTGTGCTTTTGCACTAGTCTGGTATCCACACTGGATTGCCCTGCTGTTCATGTTATGCGTCGAGTGGTCTTTCACTCAATCATACCGCCGGGACCCTTGAACTCTTTCGATTTTTACCTGATCGAATCAATCATCTTGTCATGTCTTACTCCATCGTGCCACTGTGAGTATTGGCAAAGCTTCCCAATTCATGTGAACTTGAATCATATACCCCTGGCGGTTCGTAGGTTTGATGGCGCCACGATCCCATATTCATCTGTCCATGATTCTCCCATGGGCGTCGAGGATCTACATCTAGGACTACGCACTGCAGTGCTTCAACTCTCAATCATAGCGCCAAGACTCATGGATGCACGGTTTGAGGGTCGTGTGCATATCTGTTTCCACTTCCCTCATTGAATCTCTTGTTATCTGAGCACTCTCTTTAAATCTCTTGTCATCTAATCAATTGTAATTCTGCAGCTGCAGGTCACGCTCACTCATTACTTTTCATATTCTTTGCTTCATACAACGGCTGGGCTGTTGAATACGTTCATTAATACCTAAATTCAAACAACGAAGGGCAGGATACCAAACTACATTTTTTAACGATATTATTGAAGAGGAGGATGAAGGGCTTTATAAGAGCAACGCTATTGGTGGCAGTGGGGGCAGCAGGCCTTGCACAGGTATGGTTTTGAGGGATAGTTCATGCTGTGAATGGTGGCTGATGATAATCTAGGGATATCGGTATGAAGCTAGAGGTTTAAGTGATATCATCGCCGCTCTCGAAGGAGGGGGGAAAGCGAGCGCAGCACCCGCGGTGACAAAAGAGATCACAAAGACAATGACGGTCACAAAGAGCGCTCAGGGAGCGGCGGCACCAACGGGGGCTGCAATACAAGCTGCCGGAACTGGGTACGAACAATCAGTCTTTCAAAAACTACTCGAGAACTAATAATTCCAGTGGCCAATTCTCTTTCCTCACTTCGACCGTTTTCGCTTCAGGAGCTCCACCTACCGTTACTGTCACTCCACTACCTCAAATGATTACCCAAACAGTCACTGAGCAATTAATGGTAACTATGATGGCTACGCAAATGTCAGTGGTTACATCCATGGTCACTATGACTATGATGCAAACAACTACCGTCATGGTATCAGGTATGTTGAATTCGTATAAAAAATATCTTTCATTGAACTAATCCGTTATCAAGTCACTATGCAAGGTGCTGCAACAGCAGCATCAATTAGCACATCTTTAACCGAAGCTGCTATTCAAGGAGCTACAACAGCAGCATCAATTAGCACATCATTGACCGAAGCTGCTATTCAAGGAGCTACGATCGCAAGTGTCACCACATCAGCTGCGATACAAGCTGGAAAATCACCAGCTCCTGCACTTGGAGCTGCACAAGTCGCACAGCCAAATCCTGTTGATATCAACACACTCGCCTTGTCCAGTAGTTTAGTCCTTGGTAATCTTGCTGTGGCGACAGCGGTCTGAGATGGGAGCTTGATGCTCGAATAGTAATGAAATGGGTTCAAAAGAGAAGTAATATTAGATTGTGTAGGGCTAGACTCCCGAAAGATACCAAATTCGTTGTAAATATACGTTGAAAAATGACGCCACAAGAGAAAAAAAGCAAAAGAATATAAAAATCAACTGTTAGCTTTTGCTTTTATTATATTATCAGTAGCTGTGATTGCAGGAGCTGTAGGAGATGTTTCTTTCGATGAGCTCGAATTGGATTCGGCAGCTTTCAAGGCTTCCATCCTCTGTTTCTTTACCTGTCTCTTGCTTATCTGGGGTGGCTCGTTCTCTTTTACTTCCTTATTATCATCGGCTTTTCTTTTTCCCTTTCCCTTTTCTCCATTCTTTGCTTTATCCTTCTGGGCTTCGCTGATCTCAGTGTCCTTCGCAGCGCTCCGTTCACCACCATAAATCACATCCACTAGTCCTCTGTAAGAACTTCTTTTTAAGCCCTCGTTTATAACCACCGATCTTGGGTTGTCGCCCAGCCCTTCCATGCCTCTTTCTCTACCCAGTCCCCATACTGCCATCAAATTGACCACATCTGCTGGGCCTCTGATACCCAATGCAGTCTTAGCTTCACTACTTATCACAATCCCTCTTCCCCTCGTAGCTCTGAATATGCCCAAACAATTACTTATAAAGTTTTTGCGCGCATTTGAATCTTCCATCGTAGCTTGTGCGTAGCATATTTCAAATTGAATGCCGCGATGTATAGCAGCCATGAGAGGCTTAGGTTTAAAGTGAAATGGATATCGTTGTGTGAGGTCGAGGGAGATGAGAGAGTGCTCAGCTAGGCTAAGACATGCTGCGAGAAATGCCTTTTCTGTGGTAGGGCGAATTGCGACTATATCGTAGGCGGATGAAACGGCTGTGAGACGGTGATTAAGGGAAGGATCAGAGAGAGTGAGGGTGCAGCGGCGGAGAATGACTGTTTTGGGAGGGACTGTAAAAGGAAATGTCGTAGGTATTGGATTTGTTATATTGGAAGGAAGCGGTCCGCTTTGGATATGATTAAGAGCTATGGTGCCGTAGCCTGATTCTGAAAGAAATGAGATTGTCCTTTGGAGATCAAGAGGGTCTTTGCTTGATGACCAAGGAATATTGAGATCGTAGAGCATATTCGCGTTAGTTCTGTTATTCTATATGTCTTTGCAATTGATACTCCTCATACAATTTCCTTTGCGATGGTGAGAGAGTGTAATGTATAGTCGCGAAAGTCAAGCTTGATAACAAAAATTATTATTCGTCATTCAGCCTTGGTCGATTTTTGAAAAGGCTGTCGGTAACCTTTTATTTAAGGCCGCCCGATCGAAAATAACTCCTGCGCTAGCGCGGGGTGTGTTTACTATCCATCAAGAATTCGTAGCACATCAACATCAGATCATTATTTTCTACAACATCGTACAAGGTCATCCTGCGAATCTTTGCCAGAACCATCCGGTCAAACAAACAGATTCTTATCAATCGGCGACTCACTTCGGATCTCGATATTTTCGAAAAGGCGGTCTCTACACGATTTGCGCGGCGCCGCCTTCCCATACTAGGCCGGCCGCAAAATGGCTCGCGTCTATGCGGATGTCAACCAGCAAATGCCACGGGCATATTGGGATTATGATAGCGTAAATATTACCTGGGGCGTATTGGAGAACTACGAGGTTGTGCGCAAGATTGGTAAGTCGGCAATACCTCCTTCCCCAAGACCTGTTTTGCTTTTACCCGCTCGTGGCTATGTGTGTGCTGCTTACTGACACGCGGATGTGTGTCCATGTAGGACGAGGAAAGTATTCGGAAGTCTTTGAGGGAATCAATGTGGCCAACTACCAAAAATGTGTGATTAAGGTGTTAAAGCCGGTCAAGAAGAAGAAGATTAAGAGAGAGATTAAGATCCTACAAAACTTGTCAGGAGGCCCAAATATTGTCGCCCTCCTTGACGTTGTTAGGGATAGTCAAGTAAATTCAACCTTTCCTTCTCTCCCAGGCGACCCTTTTTCCCTAGTTGGGAAGACGGGCAAATCCGCGCTCACTGGCCTTGAACAACCCCTTGAAGAAGAAACAGACGACTCATTCATGATGCAGAGCAAAACACCTTCGTTGATTTTCGAATTCGTCAACAACACCGACTTCCGTAGCCTCTACCCTAAGTTTATCGATTATGATGTCCGATTTTATATTTATGAGCTCTTGAAGGTATGAGATCAGAATATTGGAAAGGTTTTGAAGTTGCTAACGTCGATAGGCATTGGACTTTTGTCACAGCAAAGGCATTATGCACAGAGATGTCAAGCCTCATAACGTGATGATTGATCATGAGAACAGAAAGGTAGGACTCTCACTAATTGGAAGAATACCTTTACTGACTTGTAGGTTTAGTTGAGACTTATCGATTGGGGTCTTGCGGAGTTCTACCATCAAGGCACCGAGTACAATGTTCGAGTCGCATCAAGATATTTCAAGGGGCCTGAGTTGCTTGTTGACTTCCAGGAATACGATTACTCCTTGGATATGTGGTCTTTGGGTGCCATGTTCGCTTCGATGATCTTCAGAAAAGAACCATTCTTCCACGGAAACAGCAACTCGGATCAATTAGTCAAAATTGCGAAAGTTCTCGGCACTGAAGATTTATTCGACTACCTCGACAAATACGAGATTGAGCTCGACGCACAATATGACGATATCCTAGGAAGATTCCCAAAGAAGAACTGGCACAGCTTTGTCAATGCTGAGAACCAACGATTTGTTACTAATGAAGCTATCGACTTCTTAGATAAACTTCTTCGATATGATCACCAAGTATGCCTACCATTATTAAGCCTTGTATTGCATATGCTGACATGTGATTTAGGAACGTTTGACTGCTAAGGAAGCCATGGCCCATCCTTTCTTTGCACCTATTCGTGCTGATGAGGCGGCTGCACGTGGTACCCCAGCTCCTACTACATGATTCCACTCTGTCCCATATGACTTTAAAAATTTACCCGACATTCATATATGGGCTCATTATTGACTTTCAAGGTTCACATGAGCTAGTCCAATTCTGAATAGCGTTATGCCATTTGGCTTGATAATGTTCTTCTCTCGGAGCCACCTTCCATACTTCCCTTTAATACATCGAGTATGAGAATTATGGGGATGTTCGTTTCGATTGGGGAATCTGGAGGAAGGGTTGCGGGACCAGGCGTTGATGAATTCTTTTACACGACCGAAGTTGCATACCCTCTGCTCTTACTTTCCGTCGAGCATTGAAAGTTTTAATGCAAATTCTAGATAGGCTAAATCAACTCAAGATTTTTGTGTTTATCGCATTATACTCCATGCGCGGTCTTTCAAAATATAATATATTGTTTTTTACTCCCTCTTCTCCCTATTGTTCTTGATGTATTAGATGCTGTGCCTGTGAGGGGTATATGACATGATTCGTGGACCGGGAGCGGGAAGACGACTTTGCTCCGGTCCCGCCCCACAGCGTCCAACCACTAAAAAGTAAATCCCAACGGCGACGGGTTGAGATTACCATTTCCTCTCCGTTCAACATTGAGGTAATATTCTCGATACATGAAAAGCGAATTTAGAAATACGTGATGCCAACAACCGATCATATAGCAAAGAGTCACCTCAGTTCCCGGGCATGCAGGACTTGTGCATTGGCAAAAGCAAAATGTGTACCACGGTCGGGAGGATTAACTGCGAAATGTGAAAGGTAAATATTCCTGAAGTGTTCCTTGCCATTATACTAGGCTATTTACTAATGATAATAGATGTCATCGTTTAAAGAAAGATTGTGTGGCACAAATTCCTTCTATCAGGGCCCACAAGCCTCAAAAGACTACGTATGGACTGTTCTCTTCATAACTATTTTATCATACTTCTAATGTTGATTCTAGTCGAGTTGCACAATTAGAGAAGAAACTTGATGGTATTGTGAATCTCCTGCAACAGCAACAAGGCGTTCATTCCCAAGATGCAACGCAGACATTTTCTCCACTCGTCGTCACCAATGAAAATGTCCTCCCCAGATCACCACCCCTCTCCGGACCAGAACCCCCAAATCCGATTCCTCATAGAAACGTTTCCCATGTCGTCCCCAAACCTCTCGAATCAAGTAAAAGACAATCTGTCTATGAAAAAGGCACTAATGCCTGTCTTCTCGCCCACGCCAACTCGAATCTCGAGCCCAATGATAAGGAAATCGAAAGGCTGATAAAATTGTACCAGATGGAAATGACGGCGAGATTTCCCTTCGTGGTTATTGAGACGGGAAGACTGACAGGCATGGAATGGGTGTCGAGCAAACCGATACTGGGAAAGGCGGTTTTGATGGCGGCGAGCTATTATAATTTGCCGAGACAGACGGTTTATGAGACGGCGTTGGTGAGGGATTTGACGGAGAGGATTATGGTGAGGAGGGAAAAGACTTTGGAGTTGTTGCAGACGATTTTGGTTTTTTGTGGGTGGTGAGTATAGTGTTTTTCTCTTTCGTTTCTGTGACTTACTTGTTGGGCTGGTGGACAAGATGATCGATTTCGGTTGCCGTTTGAACGAACGAGACGTCTGTTGGGTGCCAAAGATGCACGAGTTCAGAGGCTTGGAAGCTAGAGGTGGCATTATCCGTTTAGAAGAGGTAATTTACTAACCAATATGAATGATTAGGTATCATTATCATTGTTTAGGGCATCCTCACCTGAACAATCTCCTAGGTCTAGCAATGGGCCTTGCTGGAGATTTGGGACTGAACAAGCCACCATCAGCCGATAGATTTAGGTATCCATTTGGCCACAGTAGAGCCACAGCTGGAGATTTCTCAAGAAGAACAATGGAGCAGAGAAGGGCTTTAGCTGGTTTATTTTATCTAACTTCTTTGTAAGCTTCAAAGTATATTTCATTTCAATGCATTTTTGCTAATTCGTGTCTAGAGTTGCAACGGGCTTTCAGCGTATAGATGCTATGAGATATTCGATACATCTTGATGAATGTGTTCGTTTCATAGAGAAGAAACCAGAACATACTACGGATCTCTTACTAGTTGATTTGGTGAAGGTCTCACATCTTGGAGAGAAAATTGGGCAAGCGATCTTACTTGTTCAGAGCGATAGTGAAATTCAAGTCCCTACTGCGTTGAAGTTGGGTTCATTCCAGGTGGAACTAGATATATTGAAGAAGGGTGTTTCTAGTGCTCTGGGAGATAATGGTACGTGTTTCACTTCATTCTTCTTTCTTATAACCTGAAGTAATTTACTTAGTTGGGCTTCCATTCTTGATTGGCTATCATGATTAAAGAACTAACACATACAATCAGTAATCCTACAGCTTCACCATCATATTTCTACCATCCGCCTCTATGAAGTCGCGTTAACTAATGGCTGGATACCCACAAATGCAACACAATCACCTCAATTTATCTCAGCAGCCCAACCAATTCACCCACCGCCTTTACATCCATCTCACCTGCAATCTCTCTACACCTGTCTCCACCACACACGCTCTTTCCTCCACTTAGTCCTCTCAATTCCTCCGTCTACCTATCTAAGCCAGCCTATTGTTCCATGGTCCCTTCTCGCCTATGCCCTCATGGTTCTCGCCCGCCTCTCCTTCTACCAAAACCCACTTCTCCCCTCCTGGACCCTCAATTTCGTCCGCGAAGTCTGCGATCTCTCCTGGGTATTAAAAGAGCTAGCAGAGCGAAACGATAGAGCGAAATTTGTAGATATCAACATCACTACCGAGGATGGAGAATGGGGAAAAGACGCGGAGGTGGGTAGTGATGGAAGAAGGGTAGGAGAGGGCTGGACAGATTGTTTCGACAAGTTTGCGAGGAAAATTCGTTTGGTGAAGGGGTGGTATGATCAGAAGGTTGCGGCTTATGGGAATTCGGCGCAGCCACAGCCGTTGGGGAATGGGTTTAGAGTTGATAGGAATGCAGTAGAGGGTAGTGGTGGTGGGAGCGAGGATGTTACTGAGGGGGGCACGTCCACGCAGATTGATGCTGGGTTAGAGGGTGTGGTAAATGAACAGGTGAACTCGGATGCAATGCTAGTGTTGGGTGATACAGATATGAGCCCTTGGGATGGACTCGATGAGCAGAATTTTTGGATGGATTTGGGTGGGGAATGGGATATAGATGGATTGGAGGCTATGGGTGTGATGCTATAGGTACATTAAAAGTATATCTCAGGAGTTCTGGCATCTTCTATTCTCATTTTATAACTGAATGACGGAACACATATGATTTGGATTTGAGAGAGAACCTCAAAGACCTTATGAAAATCTCGAAGCTCAGAATTGCCTGCTCAGACACACCTCGATCGAATCTTCCCACTCCTTTCAAGAATGGCATTGTCCATTTCGAAGCATGTTCCTCGCATTCTTCTTTTTCTGTTACAGCGTTGTTCAGAAACATCTTTGTGTTGATTTTACGTGGCGTAATGGCCTTAAAACTCGGTACCCCTGACTCAAATGCCTTTACAAAGAAGTATCAAATTTTGGCCAATTGCTATGTTGGCCTCAAACCTCCTGATCTGAGAGTCTTGGACTGACTCTTTCTTGAATGTTATTGTATCTTTTGTGGTATTGTTCCCTTGATGGAGCTCAGTTCTTGAACAACTCCTCGAGGGAAATATATAAATCCTAAAGAGATCCCCTATCATGTTCATTTTTATTCTCCAGTTTCATCAATTACAATCACATTTACAATCAAACAATCTTCCAAACTCCCTAAACGCTTGAAGTCTAGCAATCAACTATTATATCCACTCCTCCTCCAGAATTAACTCTCAAAACATAATAACCAAAAAAAAAACAATCAAAAGCCTCATCCCCTCCATCCAAAATGTCTCAAACCCGCGCCGCCCAATCCCTCATTCAAAATCTCTCCCCTCTCCCTCCCCAATACTCTCCCCGCACCAAAAAACTCAGCGCTCGCGAAGCTACCCGCGCATTCGTTTCTAGAGAGGTGAAACACATGATCGGAGCAACGAGAGGAGATACTACTCGGGAGATCCACAAAAAGGCTTGGAAAGCACGGGATATGGAGAGAAAGCTCAAGAGTCAGAGAGAGAGGGAAGATTATGAGGATGCTTTTAAGGGGGAGTGAGAGGGGGATGTGAAGGGAGATGGGTGGTGGGCGGGGGTTGAAGTTGTGATATTATAGGTGTTGTTGTTGTTGTTGTTGTTGTTGGAGGAGGAGGAGGAGGAGGAGGAGGAGAGAAACATCGATCCTCAGATTTGAATACTTGGATTGATTGCATGATGCTGTTGTACTCTCTTCCTTTCTTTCTTCCTTCCTTCCTTGATTTCTTGCGCTTTCATTCTGGCTGGAGCTATGAAGGGTAGACTACTTCTAGATCGAACCAGTTAGACACTTTGCAATTATTGTAACTAAACTTATAGAATTGATTTACGATTTGAAGTTTTGACTTGAGATGTGCGTATTCATTTTCTTCATAAAAGAGGAAGTGATTGTGGTTGCAAAGGCCCATTTTGATTCATATCATGCCCTTCACTTGATTTATAATCTAGGAAAGCTCAACATGTGACTTTGATAATAACAGGTCTGACTAAAGAAACAAGTCCAAACAAGTCTTACTACTTTGTGTTATTGAGTCAAGTCTCCTCGATGATAATTGGTAAGTAATTTGTGTAACTGATTTTGGGAGAAGAAAGACAAAATAGTATTGAATTGGGGTTCACTCGCTTGCCCCTATTTTGTACAATCAGCGGGTTTCAAACCCCGATTATGCGATGCTGCAAATATTATCATTTTCTAACCTCCAACCACCCCCCACATCTCTACAAACGATCTCCTCTAGATAAAGCTCAAGCCTCCATGTAACCCACTCAACTCATCCCTCAACTCCAAGACATCAACTCCAACTCTTCCAGCCACTTCTCCTCTCCTCTGACTCCCAAGTTCCATCCATCTTCCTAGCACTCCTCCATCAATAATTGTTCTTCCTCCTACAATTCCCTCATTTGCATCTCTGTCTATTCGGTATGCTCGGGGATTGAGACCGCAGGGATGATAGAGGGTGTTTGTAAGATGTGAGACGAGGGTGCCGAAACGTCGGTATTGGGATTCTGTTAGAGGAGAGAGAAGAGCAAGGGTACCGGTGCGAGAAGTGAGAAGGAGGGGTTGAGAAGGGGAGGGGGTATCTTCTTGGGGTGAGGGACTAGGAGATGGAGAGGCGGCAGTGGTTAGTGGGGGAAGAGGTCGGGTGGTCGGTAGAAGTGTCATGGTTGTGGGGTGGTGGGCACCGAGGGAAAATGTGGTGCGGTGAAGGAGGAGGTGGCCCTGGAGAGATTTGGGATCTATATATTTGTAAGTCAAGGATTTAATACAAGCCGGTTGGCCGACAGAGCAGAAAATGAAAATAATAACATACGTTCAGGATCGTATTGCATAATATGCAAGTTCCCATCGGCATCCGCAGCCACAATGAATAGATCTTTTCCATCTGGCAATATGTCTGCACACAGTACTTCCATCTTTGCAGCACTCTTTCCAAAGAGTAGCATCCTATACGGTTCTTCCGTATATCCCGCAAACCAAACACCTTTTAGAGCGTCCGCCATTACGCAGAGACCTGTGCCGGGTAGTTCCTTGACAGACGTAACATAACAATTCATATCCATAAATGCGACTGGCAAGTTTGTGCCATCCTCCTTGAGACCTCTGACCATACATTTTTGGCCCTGCGCAACAAGCATGAAACCTTGAGTTCCAATTTCGGAAAGACCAGTTACGGGACCACCGGCACCACGAGTAATGATTTCAGAGGAAATCAGCTTTAATTTTTTGTTCGTCTCAGGTCGATCTGGTTCGGGAACAACTGTGACGACATCGTAAACATAGAGGCGGCCAGTGGTTGCGAGATCTTCTCCTTTGGTTATAGCTGTTCCTACGGCAATCAAGTGTTTGCGCTCGTTGGTGACTTCTGATATAACCAGATTCATGGTTTTTATGCAGGTTATGAGTTCGCAAGGTTCAAGTTCGATGGTATCGATGATGGACCAGTTGACAGGGCTGACTAACTTCAGATAGCTTTTTTCGATCGATGGTTTCAGGGCGATGTTTTCCTCTTGCCAAGTTTTGCGGTGGTCATCATCTTTGGGTAATTCAAAGTCTGTGAAATTGCTGGTACCTATAACATATGTTTGCAGCGGTGGATGATATGCCACAGCGTGAACATCTTCACCTATCTCAATCTTTCGCAGGGCCATTCCGATATCGGCAAACGTAGTATTTGGTGGGAATTGTGCTACGCGGGCGACACCTTCTGTGTTGGCATAGATAAATCCTCTGTCACAACCTTCAGTGTGGAAACTACTAAGACTGCGAACTCCTGTTCCTTGCAGGCTGAGAACTTTGGGTGCTGTTTTAGAGCTCTTGATGATGAAACTTGGAGATCCACCTGGCATAAAGACAGTACTGTACCCACCGAGATTTGAGATAGCTCGCATTGGCTTACCGCCCGTCTGTTGAGCCCCATCGGCCTGCTCTTCAGCAGACACATCGGGAGCTTGTGTCAGATGCGTGTTCTGTATTTTCAGAAATTGAAGTGTAGATGAAAGAAGATCCGGAGACGCAGACTTTATGCGGAACGGTTCATAGATGGTAAGATCATCGTTTGAGGGGTCGAAGCTAAATCGGTCAGCACATAAATGAGTAGATTAAAGTGCAGATTCTTACAATAAGATAAGGGGATTGAGAAACAGAATCTCCTAGGTTCGCTACTAATATCTCTGTCAAGGTTTCCCGCGCTGCCGATTTCCTAGCTGCATAATCTGCTGAAAGCACAGGTGGAACAAAACATATTCCTTCCGCGACATAAGTTGGCTTAGAAAGATCAGGCAGTGCGTAAATCTGAAAGTATTAGAGGTTGGACGATGGAAAGCTTGGAGGAAAACTCACGTGCAGTGCTCCGCCCGCACTGAGTAAAAACATCTTGACATTTTCCCCTGCCTTGTTCGATTTGCCATCGGAGAAAGCTCCGCTATAATCATCGTACAGACAGCCAGTCAGCCATTTCGTAGAAAGCAAAACATCATCAGCCCTTTCTATCTCTTCAAGATCATTGTCGTCGTCACATTGTGCAACAAAAATGCTCGCATCGTCTCTTATTAGTAGGAGAAATGGATCTGCGAAGCTTGCACTGATAATCTTCGGCTCTGCTCCCGTCTCATCATCGAGCATCGGCAAAATTTGTGCAAGACCAAGATCTACACCACAGATACAGAGTTAGTTACGCTTCTAATCAATCATGTAATGGCGCGAAGAGGCATGTCGCAGGGAGCAGATTGCATGAGGCACAGTTGTAATGTTGATAATTCGCTTTCATTGTTGCTATAGGATATGATAGATTTCCAAATAGCGCCCCGGACGGCGAAAACATATAAGCGGAAAGTACAAAATTTCCCAGAGACTTGACCCAACCTATATGCCCATCCATCCGACCACATAAATTGAGAGGGGTGTGATTCAAGGAAAATCGCGGACTTACCACCGTCATAACTTCTCACTTCAGACTTTAAAACTTGAACAACACGCATGCCATTGCCAAGTGTACCAGCTTCAATTGTAGATCCAGCAGCTGGTTCGAATTCTGTCCCTGTTAAAGCTTCAAACCCAGCATCCGTTAACGCATATACGGCAGATTCGACAATAGCATCTTCAGCATCAGATGCTTTGGAAACTATCATTAGTCTATCATACTGAGCATCGACGCCATAGTCACCGCTAGTAATGGATTTCTCTTTATTGACTTGTAATCCTTTGGGTGCCGGTCTCTTTGCGCTCATGGTCCATATACCACGAGCTTCTGGTAAGTCGAATCGTCCTATAACATTTGGTTGAATTTCACGATTAATGACTGCCAAGGAGCCTCCCTTTGCACGACCGACAGCAGCTACAAGCTGAAGTTCGCTCTGAACACCGCTAAGTTTAAGCTCTTCGTCCTTACCCAAACTCAATGCGGCTTCTCCGAAGGCTAGGTTTGAAATAGGAGCTATATTGACCATAGAATCATGTATACGAAATGTGTAGTCACCCGTTTTACTGTTCGAGGCAGTAAAATTTGCAGTAGCATGAGTAATTGTGGGCCCATCGCCGTAGAGATCATCGTCGTCATCTTCTAAATCTTCTTCATCGAGCATGGCTTCATCAACTTCCGCTATTGCTGAAGTGTCAAGCCTAGACTTCCGACGCGAAGTTTGACCCGACTTCCTACTCCAGCCTAGGATGACAGAATCTGACACCTCACTTCCAACGAATAATGATCCTGCGCCAAGAGAACTTACACATGAAGCAGCTCCAGTCAATATGGCGCCCCCTAACTCTGCACTTACGCGACGAATGCTTAGACCAGAGACCGACCTTCCATCCATACGAAAGCTCAGGATAGCAATATCACCACTATGTAGTATAATGAGCATCTCTCCATTTTCGATAGATAGTTGATCAATTTTGCAACCTTCTAACCGAAGATCAAGATCAGACTGGTCCAAAAGACTGAAGCCGGTGCATTGCTTTGCAAACATGTTGACAGCAACACCGTTTGCTTTGCCAGCTTGATCGATATGTATCAACTCATTAGTACCAACTAGAAGAGCTCCGCCCACAGGTGGAGCTAGTGGAACAATTCTGTAGAGGTCGTAAGGCAAACCTCCAACGGAAAGAATGGTGGTAGACGCTTTTTGATGTATGTCCAGGGTAAACACCATATACGTCAAGTGGTCTCTACGTTCTTGCAATAAAGCGGAAGATGGTGCCATGGTAGACGAGAGAATTCCAAAAGTTGGCTCTCTATATTCATACAGAAATTCGAGGTGAATTGGAAATATGATGTTGGGATCGAGTGAAGACAATCGTAGAACAAAAGAGGATCCATATGGTGTATCTAACTTTCCATCTTCCGCTGCAGTCATTTGTGAAATCTTCGCAGGGCGAGGGCCATCTAACTCCTCATCCCAATCGTCCATATTGACATCTTCGTCTTGTTTAAAAGGCAGGATCGCAAGGTTCCGAGCTCCGAATTTTAAGGCAGCACACCGACTTCCCGG